ATATATATATATATATATATATGCCATTTAAGGTGTATAGTCTTGTCGATTGATAGATTAAATTAGATTGTATTTCGTTCTCATGGGAAGTTGAGAGGCATTGATCATCAGTTCTCTATTACAATTATTAAGTAAAGGCATATAGCTGAAGAAAACTCACCCTCAACAACTAGATGGTAGAAAAACAGCTTATAAGCTAAGCCACCAAGCCCTTAACCTAATTAATTAGAATTCATCTTGTTCTAACCATAGTAATTTATGATTATGTGTGTGTGTGTGTTTATATATATATATATATATATATAGACTTTTACTGTATTCTAACGTTAACTTTGCATGGCAAAAAAATAAATAAAAATAAAAACTAAATAGGTGTAAAGGTGGCAGTTACATGTAAAAACGAAGAAGGAAGAATGAGGAGAAGCAACTTCGCCTATGGAAGAACTGATGCGTTCGGGGATTTCATCATCAACATTCCATCTCATCTGCATGCCGTTCCCAAATTTGAAGATTCGTGCTCTGTTAGGATCCTCGGGCCACAGAAGAAGTACTCCCAATCTTATCATCAAATTATATCAGTATTAAATCCCATACGCATAAAATTATCTTATGCGGGCAATGACGTTCGAGTTTATTCAACGGGAACGGTGAGGACTAGTCTGAGAGGCTAATCTTCATATATGTTGCTTGGGCTTGGAGATAAAGAAGATATATAGTGATCAATGCATAATTTACATATTATTGTATGTTTGCATGCACGAAATCTTATGTAAAACCGCAACATTTATGTATAGTGTGATATTAATACAGTGATCAATCTTCATGTAACATGCAATTCGCAGCTTTGCATCTACATTGCATTTGGATTCATGTATGTATGTAGCCAGTCATGCATGTATCATCAACTAATTTGGCCTCTGCCTATAAGGAGGAAGTTATGCTTGAGGAATAGAAGGATAAGAAAATAAAAAAGAAATTTAGGCAATTTTGGATCTTAGCGTTTGTCCAGGCTCTAGCCAAGCTTTTATTTTATGAGATTATATTCTATTCTCCATCTGATTCACTAGGCTCCTCTATCAATCCTTTGGTTGTGATACAATCTTTCCAATTCCAATTAATTGATGAGGTTACATGTCCAAATTTCACCTAAAATTCTTTTATTATGTACCTTTATTAGTCTTGCAATTTAAAGGATTGTACATTTTGTGATTGTTTATTATTTTATGAATGAAATACATCGAGTAAATTCAATTTCTTAAGCTACGTTTGGGGCAGCTTAATTGCTAAGGTGCGGAGGGAAACAACAATATGAGATGTTTATTTTGTGCGGTGTGATAGCTTATTTGGAATATTTACTTAAAACATGGCCACGGGCTCGAGTGAGCGGCCCGTGTCTGATGGCTATATTTTTTTATTGGGTTACCTCGGATCATAGGATTCGCATCTGCCAGAGTAGTTTACTCTTTGTCTCGCTCCCCTTTCTCCTCCTTGCATTTGTATCTGTCCAGCGGCTCCTCCTCTCTAATCATGAGAGAATTGCTTGTGCCTTCCGGGGATGTCCTTGGCTAGCATTGGTGAGTATGCCCTATTTCATTGCGCATTCGAGGAGACCCACCTGTTGAATATTTTAGGTTAACCATCCTACCGCTTTGACTTTCCTTTCTAAATTAATTTTTGGAGGCGGGGTAATTTTTTTTTTATTTTTTTTTTTTTTTTTTTTGGGTTTTTTTTTTTTTTTTTTGGTTTTGTTCTATGGAGAAATTGAGAACATAGGGATGGGAAACACTAGATTGCATCTCAATTTTTTTTGAGAGATTTGGAAGCATATAAATATTTGTAGTTTTGGTTCTCTGCTCCTTGCGGTTTTTGATTCACTACAGTTAGTTTCTTGGCGGTTTTGGGCTTTGCTCTATGGAGAAATTCATTATATGAAGAGAAAAATACTATATGAATAACGATATTTTCCGACAGCCAAATTATGTCGGTTAGATGAATAACACTGGCATTTTACTATTTCTGACTGTCTATCAATGACTTTAAGCTCGTAGGTAAACCAATTGTCAATAATTTCCAAATCGATGGATATTTTGACGGCATGAAATTATCGACATATAACCAACAATTTAATGTTGTAGTTTTTTTTTTTGAGAAAATTCAAATCGTTGGTTTTTGTCGGTTCATAGAATCAACGATTACTTCATCGGTAATAGCTCACACATCGGAAAAATGTCTCGTCCATCGGGTTTTTGATGGAGACAAATCATTGGTTATGTGACACTGATGCATCTATTTTTTTAATCGACGTATGAACTGTCAAAAAAGTGTTGCACCCGTCATTTTTGTATGACACACTTAAGCCATTGGTTCGGCGTCAACTAGCCATTGGTAAATAAGTTCATCGAGTAGCAGTCGATTTTGACTACAGATATGTTAAAAATTGTTGCAAAACCGAAGGTAAGCAGTTGGAAATCTGTAATAACAAAAAAAAAGATCTTCTTTTTCGTATTTGCATTACTACACATGTTATCACAACACTTAATGTATAATTTCAAACATTTAATAAACTAGAATAACAGTCGAACAGTAAATTATCCGATTAAATAACAAAACAAATAAAATCCAATTAATCTAAAATATATATAACATTCCTTACAGGAAAAAATATATGTACAAACGTACAACATAATCATAGGAAATAAAAACTCCTAATCATCCTTCTCTATCTCCTCATCCTCATCCTCATCCTCATCCCCATCGTCCTTCGCCGCTCCCTCCTCCTCCACAGCTGTCACTACCATGCCACGCTCCCTCATTTGCTGTCAGAAGGAATCTAACAGCTTGGCCTCCATGTTGGCCTTCAACTCTGACCTCAACTGAGTGAAGTGTCCATCTCAACAAAGACTATGACAACATGAGGTAGAAACTACAGATGTATTGATGGAGGGATGAGTCTCGTACGCAAACCCCTGCGACCTAAGCCCGTAAACTCGACCTTTCTTCTTCCTCCCTCCAGCAGCCTTCCTCCACAAATTGTACTCGGAATGATCATGATCACAGATCGTAATACCTCTCAACGTCTGGGATTAGCTCTTCTTCAACTGCTAAAATCTCTGCTGCACAAAAAAAAATATATATTTACATTTAGTTTGAGATACCATTTATTAACATCAAATTAGCTCGTTAATTACCTAGGTTGCACGGGATCTGTCATCGATCCATGACTAGTCGGACCACCTCCTATGAGTGCGCACATGTACATCGATGGCGGAGGGCTCTCATCTAATTTCCATAGTCTATTCATATAACGAAATAGTTAGAATACATCTTCAAAGTATAGAAAACTTTTAAAAAAAAATAAAATCTTACTGGCCTTCGCTATTATAATGTATGTGGGAGCGCCCCACTTCTGTGATTGGAGATCCACATGCCTCCACAATCCAATCGCCTATTCTGCTTTGTCTGCTCTCTCTTCTTTTGGTAGCCAATGGAATCCATGCCCTCAGCAGTGTCGACAAAACATCCTCTCCAAGCCACAGAAGATGTTATCTTGATTTTCAAATGTCGTCGAACATGTCTTGGAGGCGATCACCGCCCTTGCTCTGGAAGTTGCGTCGGATGTGGCCTTGTGCTCGGGGCGTCAGAAGAATTATTTATGCAAAATTCATAGGATTAAATAAAAACAACTTAAGATATTTGTGAATGATACAAACTGCAAACTCCTAAAACCAAAGATCTTGAATGGTCATTGCAATATCCTTCCACGACAACAAAAACCAAAGTGCACCTTCTTCACCTCCCATAAAGGGATATTTATAGTCAGAGAGGGGAAGATACTTACTATAAAGCTTATCAGCGGTGAGGAGTGGGGTGACGGGAAAATCGCCAGAGAGAGGGAGTCGGTTAAGATACAAGAGTGAGAAGAACAACCAGATCTCGAAAGGAGATTCTCCCGCGCAAGGAAGAGAGGGCTCGGCTAGGGCAAGAGCGAGAAGAAGAGTGTTTGGTTCGAGCGAAAGGAATTCAGGGATGGGGTTTCGCGCATGTGATTTTTTTTTATATGAAGGAATTCTGTTTTTTTTATTTTAATATTATTATTCCACCTAAATTCGTCAGTTTGCACACAATTTGATCCTATTATGAACCCTACCAATATAGATGTTCTTCTAAAATAAAATCAACATCTCGAAAGCGCTCGCACGGTCCCTTTCATTATCTGTGGTTGTCCAGACAAGTTCACCGACGATCGTACCAATTTAACTCTGACTCAGGTGCGTAGAGACAATGAAGTTATTTAGTTTAAGCGGAGCCGTTTAACAAGCCAAATGTCGATCGGTCCTTGTCCAAGCGACGACCTGAGTATAGTAGAATGCTCATAACAGAGAGTCGCTCGTCACATGTTGATGGGGATCTCCATTTGGCTCTTCCAGTTCTTATGGATACTCAACTTTAGTTTTAATATGTTGGTTTTAACCGACTCAGCTAAATGCTGAGGATTCGAACCACCCATATG